CTTGAGGGGGGGGGGGTGCAAATTGAAAACTTGAGGAGGGGGGGGGGGGTGCAAATCGAAAACTTGAGGTGGGGGGTGCAAATCGAAAACTTTAAAGTTTGTCCCCGGGAAGGGTCGCTACGCATGTGGGGGGTGACACCATTAAGTGCTGCACGGGTGACTTTCAACCTCACTACACCACTGGCTTGGGTCACTGAATTTTCACTTGAATACCTTGACTAAAATTAAAGAGGCTAGCAAGGCTATCGTTTTTAGTTATTTAACTCATTAAGGCCGTAACGACGCTAGGATAAAATCATTACTTATTTATTTTTATTTGGTTTCAAAGTACGTAAAGTTCCCTTTACAAACCTGACGGTCTATCGGGTGAACAATGATCAAATGAAGAAACAATTTAAAGTAAGAAAAACATAACAACGCTTATAACAAACATTAGCAATAAAAGAAAGGAAAAATTCAGACAAATTATTTACGCCATATAGCAATTTTTATCAAACACATATAGACATACCGTACCCAATAACAAATATCACCTTTTGATGAACTGATACAGAATATTTTTTTTAGTAAATCCATTAAGATGTTTATTACAAGAACAGTATAAATGATGAGAACCATGATGAAGTGTACAACATGACTGTAAATATCTCAGTTTTCTCCTGAACATGATGATAAACACATTTTTACAAGTTTGTGATTAGGTTCAATATATATATATATATATATATATATATATATATATATATATATATATATATATATATATATATATATATATATATATATATATATATAATAGAACTAAGCAGATTTAGTTGTTTCTTTGGTGCCATTCGATGATTCATTTGAGTCTGTCTTTGCCTTTTTCTTCGGACTTTCATCTTCCGCATCATCACTTTCTTTTTCATCTACAAATCGCTTTTCTGCTGTTGTTTCTTCTGTTTTTGATTCTGTCTCTTCTGTGTCTCTTCTGAGCTTGCATTTACATTTGTATTTTCTTCTGAATCTTCTGTTTTTGTGTTTTTACTTTCTCGTATATACGTAGTATAGAGAAAGTATTGTAATCGTGCAAAAAAAAAAAAATCGAGATTTTTACAAATCTCGACGTTTTACACCTCACTGATACGGAAAAACATAATTTTGCAATCTTGTCCGTATGTCTGTGTGTGTGTGTGTCTGTCTGTCTGTCTGTCTGTCCGTGTGTAAACACGATAACTTGAGTACCGTTACAGCTAGGTTGATGAAATTTCATATATAAGTATTTTATCAAAATCGTAGATCCGTATCAACTTTTGAGCGATTTCCGATAACCGGAAGTGGTACTTTTCCTACTTTGAATTTTTCAAAAGCCTATAACTTGAGTACTATTTCAGATAGATAAATGAAATTTCACATGTAAGTAAAAGATCTAATTCTCTAACTTCTGTTAAATTTTGAGTAATTTCCGTTGACTGGAAGTAGTAATTTACGCTACTTCCGATTTCTCAAAAAACTAATGTAAATTTTTAAAGTACTAATAATATTGCGCACTATTATACGCGTTTTTATTCGGCGTTTGCTTGGTGCGCAATGTTTTTTTTATGAGATTCTATTCTATTTTTAAAAGTTTAAGTATTTAAAATGGATTAAAAATCATAACTATATCCCCAGTTACCATCCCCTGTTGTTTTATATAAGAATATTCGAGAAAGTTTAGGGGAGATCACTCCCGGTTTATTTTATTTAGTATAAAATAGAATACAGAATATGTTTTTATTAGAGAAGTGCTTTTGAAACACATTAATTAAACAGAAGTTTTTATGTTCTATATAAAAACAAAGTATGACTAAGTCTTAGTGTTTTAAACTGTACATTCAACTAAATCATTGAAATGTAGGGATTTTTACATCGACACGTAACCAAATTCTATCAATGTTCAAAATATTTTTTATACTACTAACTGTCTATTAATATCGATATTTAAAATATAGGCCCGTATGCGTTATTTGTTTATTTTTAGTAATTTATTTAGCGGTTGTTTCCCTTAGCACTTTGTCTAAATAACAGAAAAGTTGGGTGGGGGTAGGGGTGGGGGGTGGCACTTGAAAAGTTTGAATAGAAGTATGTATTTTCTATATAAATTATATTTTGTTCGGCGAAGGGGGGAGGGGCACACTTGTTACGAGATGGGGAAGGGGATGAAAATAGATGCCTAAAAGAAACATTTGATCATTTAAAAATTGAATCCTTGTCATTTATAGTAATTATAGTATGGGAAATTGTGAAATTGTGAATTCTCCTGAACATGCAGTCTAGTGAAACAGGTATAACTTAGATGTAATAATATATTATATCATTAATGACTGTTACTAATAGTAAAATGGCATTACATTGCCACTTACCGCAAAATATTATTGAGAAGAATAATCATTAAATCATTAAAATATACAATTGTCGGCATAATGAAATTTCCATTTTTAAGCTATCAAGTTTAGATAAAGAAAGTTTGAAATTTAAACAAAAAGTTTAATGGTCTGAAAATTGGAAAAAGTACCATCCCCACCCCTCAATGCTCACATAGTCATATCCCCCTCCCCACAAGCTCTCACCCCCCCCCCCCTCCCCCACTTTAAACTCTCGGGTGAGGGTGGGGAGCAAATATATATGTTTCCGTGGGACACACACTGATTAAAGCATATATTTTCTATTTTTTTTTCATCCTTGGTGGTTGCTTTGGACTTGTAATGAAGGGGGTGAGGGAGGGGGTGGTATGCATGTAAATAAAACCTGCGGACACAAAACAATCACGTGAGATTCTTTTCTTAATGTTAATATTTATTTTTAGTAACAACAACCATGTTTGTTTAGCTCCGCAAGACAAGACTGATCTTGGCATATAGTATATTTTTTTTCGAAAACACTGGCATATCACCATCACTAATTCTAAGATAATATTTTTAAAATTGGTTATTTTTTTAGGGAAATAGTAATTTGTTATATCATTTTAATTAGGGTGTGTGGTGCTTGTTTGTAATAGAATACGGTTTGTGGGGGGATTGGGGGGGGGGGGTAAATTTGCTAAAATTGCGTGACGTCATTTACGAACGAACCCCCTACCATGTTTTTATAATGTTGTAGTATGATTCAGTGCATGAGATAGGTGGAGCATGGACATAGTTATAGAAAAAAAATACGCATATGATTCAGAGGTACAAGAGTTCGCTATACGCATTGATTAATATAATGGTTAAATGGTAAAAGAAAAACCTCTCCTCTTGGGCGTCCGTTCATCGCAGCACCAACGTGGGCAAAACACACGCTCAGCCTTGTAGCTAAAAGCCAATCTTCAAAGACCTGACCATATTCCCTTTTATTGAATAATTGACCCCCACGTGAGCACCCCTTTCATGCGCGCACGTGTAAGAAGTTACCTAGATCCCTGGTTGCTGAAAAAAAGGTGTGTGTTTTAATAACAAGATGGCTGTTCCATTATCTCCAAAGTCTCCATATGGGGTGGCAATGTAGCAGAGGGGGAAGATGAAAGACATCAAGGCTAACACGCTGGCTGATGAAGCCTATAGGTCGAAGCTTTTTTGGGTTCAGTTTCGGTGAGGAAAGTGTATTTCCGGTATCCGACTTCCGAGTTGAGAGCTAAGTAATGTTTGAAAAAAATGCTGAACATGATTGTCCGACTAGTGAACACACGCTATAGAAGTTCGTCAAGGTCCAAATAAGGTGCGATGATATACGACCCATAGGGCTAGAGATAGTGTGATCAGCAGATATATTATATAGCCTATATATATATATATATATATATATATATATATATATATATATATATATATATATATATATATATATATATATGTGTGTGTGTGTGTGTGTATGTTTAGGGGGTGGAGGTATTATGGGGGTCTTTGTGAGAGTGTGGTTGTGGGTGTCGAGATATTATGTTATCAAACAAACGAAATTCTCCTCGATGCCGTGTAAATGATTTTGTTGATATAAGACTGCATATTAATAACGATATATATATATATATATATATATATATATATATATATATATATATATATATATATATATATATTTATTTATTTATTTATTTATTTATATATATATATATATATATATATATATATATATATATATATATATATATATATATATATTAATATATATATATATATATATATATATATATATATTAATATATATATTAATTCCTCGCATACGTATATCTGTACATGCAGTTTTAAATCACCTGGAATCGGTCTGGAAAGACTGGCAGCAGTGTTCACTTAGTGAAAACATCACAGGGAATTTTGAAAAACAAATACGAACGTGTTTCTTAAAATTACCTATAACATCTGCTCCTATCTCATTATGTTAAAAGGATGGTCAGCTCTAAATTATTTGTTTTGTTTTTATTTAAATCAGAGCTTTTTGGGCCAGAGTTTCTTCCAGACATTTCTTCGGGGGGGGGGGGGGGTGGAGAAGCTCCCCCCCCCCCCCGAAAAAAGTCTACCGCCCCCCCCCCCCCCCCCAACGAGATGGATTTTATATAGTAAATAGTAATCATACACTTTTACTAGTGTCCGCCCCCCCCCCGGAGAAAAAAGTCTGGAAGAAACACTGTATTGAGCCAAGAGAGCGGTAAACACGCATGCAGATTTAAACTGTGTTAACTGTTTCTAAGAAGTAACATGTCATATTATTTTTATAATATAATTTTTTTGCATATATTTTTAAAAAATAAAATAAATTAAGTAAGCATAGTTATGAATTACAAGGTGAAATTAAAAATATAGCCCATAAATAAATGGAAGTTGATTTAAAATTACTGCGTATGTTTTTCATATAAAATTCTAATAATCACATATTTTTATGAAATAATTTGCAATATTTAAAATCTGGGCAGCATTGAAAAGAAAATGTATTGAAAGGGACGCAATCGTGTTATAACAAATAACGAACTGTAACTCTAAAACCCGGAAATGTTACCTGTATTTATTCTGAAACACGGTAACCTTCCCTTAGCGTTCGCAAATGAGAAAGCAATGGTAAAATAACATCTGGAATTATCATTGTTTTCTTTTGCAGATTGTTACAAGGCTCCGAAATGGAGCGATACTATTCAATTTTAGTTTTTGTTGCGTTTTTGGGAACAGGTAAGTTCGATAGTTTAACAGTTTTGGTAAAGAAAATCATAATTTAAAGTTTCAGGAAGTGCTGCATTGAAAAACACAGTAGCCGCCATTTTGTTCTTCACCTGTGTATTTAGTCCAAATCTAGATTAATGATATGAGAGTTTTCTCTTTCAAGATTTTCCTGTTTAGAACAAAGCTGCATACAAGTTTGAACAAAATTTAGGGAATATACTTATAGATTTGTCTAGACCTTACAATTGTTCTAAATTCAGCTTGCCCCTAAGAATACTAATTCAAAAGTGAAAAATTAAAATAAACAGTAGGCCTAACTAACAGCTTTTTTGATCAGAAGAAATGGAGCAAGATTTCCTAAGGCCTAGAATCTAGCTACTAGCTAGGCCCTAAACTAAATAAATAGTAGGCCCTATTTAAATAAATCTAGGCCTAGGGGATCGTCCATAAATGACGTCACACTCAGGGGGAGGGGGGGTGTTGTAATTTTGTGATGTTGTGTGATGATGGGGAGTGGGGTGTTCAGAATAGTACTCTAGATAGAGTGACATCACACTTTATGACTGTTGCATTATAATTAAAACCGGGAGTAATCTCCCCTAAACTTTCTCATATATTCTTATAAAACACTACGGGAGCTGGCACATCACAATATACTTTAGTTTTTCTCACTAAATCTAGAATTTACACAATTATCAATTTAAACATGACCACTGAATAATAGACATCCATAATTTAATCCATTAGGCACTAACTTTGGAGTTTTTAGTTTGTTTTAAACTAAATTACTTAATTTAATATTTATTGTCAATCACTGCCATGTCCAACACATCTCTCCATGACAACTCTTCTTAAGCTTGAAGCTAAAGAAAACCACAAATCAAGTTAGACTTTTTAAGTGGCCATGCACAAGAGTTCCTCACTAGTGATCACCAAATAGTGGTCACGTGGTTTTTTTTTCAAAAAAAATTTGGTTGTCATTTTTCCGGCTGGTCTTATAAAAAAACGGTTGACTATATTAGATTTATTTTTTCATAGACTGATAAAACTAATAATGCTTTAGTATGGAAATCAATTTTGTAATATGGAAATCGATATTTAAAAAGATGTAGTATTTTTGATGAAACCAACTTTTAAATTTAGCCTTCATTCTCCAACGCAAATTTTAAAATGCTTTTCTGGCATATATAGCCCTGCCACCTATAGCTTGTTGTTATAACGTGAAAGTCCCGCCATTTTGCGCGTGGTAAACATTTTAAAAACTAATTAGTAGAAGGTCTCTGGAATTTGGCCGAAAAATCGTCGGAAGTCAAGCGTCCGGTCCGGGCGCCATATTGTTGTTAGCAACCGGCCACGCCTCCGGGTTAGCGAGAAATACTAATATACTTGAATATAGACATGATTTTTAATCCATTTTTAATTAGGGCCTACTTATACTTTTTAAAATAGAACACCTAATAAAATGTGCATAATAGTGCGGAATATTATTAGTACTTTATAAATTCACATACGTTTTTTGAGAAATCGGAAATAGCGTAAATTACTACTTCCGGTCAACGGAAATTACTCAAAATTTAACAGAAGGCAGAGAATTAGGGCCTATATCTTTTACATGTGAAATTTTATTTATCTATCTGAAATAGTTCTCATGTTATAGGCTGTTGAAAAATTGAAAGTAGAAAAAGTTCTGCTTCCGTATCGAAAATCACTCAACAGTTGAAACAGATCTACAAATTTGATAAAATACTTATAGGCCTATATGAAATTTCATCAACCTAGCTGTAACGGTACTCAAATTATTGTGTTAACAGACACACATGCACATACACACACAGACTTACACATATACACACACACAGAGATAGGGGCAAGATTGCCAAATTATGTTTTTCTGACTCAGGGAGGTGTAAAATGTCGAGATTTGCAAAAATATCGATTTTTTTTTTTTGCACAATTACAATACTTTCTCTATACTCTGTATACGAGAAAGTAAAAAGCAATGTAACAAAATAAATTTTAGCCGTTACTCAGCAGTCTAGAAAATTGTTATAATAAATTGCAATAGGAATCGATTAAGATACTCTATGTTCAAATGTTGACAGAGTTCAGATAACATTTTGGAAAACTTGTATTTTAAGAATAATTCAACTGCAATTTTGAGGGGGGTTGTAGACTGAGGTATGGCCAGCACCAGGTTATTTAGCGCCAGAGGCAAAACTTAATAAAATGCCCCCTTTTACTTTTACGCAAATTAATTAATAAAACATATTTTTAAGAAAATAATAAGGCCTAATAAAAAATGACATTGGGCCTAATAATATATTATAGATTGCATAAACGTTATATATATATAGACATCAAAATCAAATTTTACGCGCCTTCTGTCGTCGCTAAAGTTTGTACTAACTCCTTAAGACAATTCCAACGTGGAAGCGTAATAACATTCTATTGAAATTGTTGCCAAGTCCACATGTCTACTTTATGAAAAAAAAACCCCACCCCCGGAGAAATCTCCTGCAGATCTCCTAATTGGAGTTCCGGAACGGAATAAAATGTCTATATTGTGTGATTATGTAACGATTTTTTGTTTTTGAAAAATAAAAGTTTACAAATGTTATAGATTACTACAGCCCACAATTGTTATATATGAATTCTTTAGGAGAGAGTGAAAAATATGAAAAAATTAATTAGATGATTAATAATTTTAATTTGCAACTAAGACAATTTTAGACGCGTTAGTTGCACTATCTCTTACTGTATGTCTACTAATATTAAGTATTGCAGTCTACAACGACTACTGATGTATTTGTTTTTCAACTTGATAATGCTAAAAATAAAAATACACCAAAATATTTTGTTTAGAACTTCTGCTCTATTTAAATAATTATTACAACGAGCCGGCCCGCGGCATAACATACGCCACTATTTAGTTGTTTCTAATTTTCAATAATTCATAATTTGTGAATTCGACAGTACCAACGCTGACACTGAAAATATTTCTTTAAAACACTATAAGTAGCTCGTTAAAGACCATAACCACCCCCCCCCCCCCCACCTTCCTTCCCCCCCCCTCTCCCCCCCCCCCCCCCTAACGTTTAAAATCGTTGGCTCTGCTTGTAAACATTTAGAGTGAACACAGCTCACTAAAACCATGTAGGGGTGGGGAGGTAGGGAGAGCGTTTGCAGCTTGTTTTCTAACGGCTCGAAGAAGAGAATTATATATATAGATAGCAAATAACATAATATTAAAGTAGTATTTATAAGTAAGCAAGAATTATCTCCCATTTGGAAATCCAAATAACAAAATTTCATTCAAGGGAAATAACTTTCACAGGGATAACTAAATTAACCTAATGTAACTAAGCTATTCTTGAAAAACACAATATCCCTCTTTAAATTTCATTATAAAATAATTATACCTAGTTTTTTATATTTAATTATGTAACCTTGTCTAAACAATATATTTTACCAACTGACTACTTACCATTAGGTTGTTTGAAAGTTTAAACATACTATCTTTATTATAACATACTTCTAGTCAATAATAAAGACATGTAGGCCTATTTAATTGTACATTTGCAATAAGCTGTGGCCTACTTCTTACTAATTATTTTGGATCCCTAAAATAATGGAAGCATTTCCAAAAATAACTGTTTAAGAAATTGCATTAATATAATAATTTGAAAAAAAAAGAGTTTTTTGTTAGTTATAAATTCGAGCCTATATAATATAATACATTAATGCTTTAAGAGCTGTAATATAGATTTCTAAAAATAACTCAAGATTTTTCAGCTACAGGATGTCTACTTTTCTTTGTAGTGTGTTCCGTCCTGAATTGAAATCATCTAACTTAAGATAATCGCGACTACTCGATATACTCAAACTCTACTACATTCACAACACATATCAAGCTTCAATACCTAAACATAGCTTGAGTCGATGCTCCAGAACTACGACACCACCTCGCTTAACTTCACCAAGCGCTACATACCATACACCCAATCAACAACTATTTCACTGGACCTTCTAATAAACGATAACGGTCAACACACTCGCTTAACTTCACCAAGCTCTACATACCATACACCCAATCAACAACTATTTCACTGGACCTTCTAATAAATGATAACGGTCAACACACTCGCTTAACTTCACCAAGCTCTACATACCATACACCCAATCAACAACTATTTCACTGGACCTTCTAATAAACGATAACGGTCAACACACTCGCTTAACTTCACCAAGCTCTACATACCATACACCCGATCAACAACGATTTCACTGGACCTTCTAATAAACGATAACGGTCAACACACTGCGTTACCTTAATCCCGGACTCCAGAAAAACAATACTTCATCACCAACATTTTCATTTCTCTACTACCAATCAGATTTCACTAGACGTAAAGCTACACGAGAATAGCCAAATAAAAAATACAATAGTTTGAACACCCTGTCATTACAAAACTATATACGCCAGAGCAAATTTCTAATTCAAAGTCAGAGAAAACGAGACTTACAAGCCCTATTAAAAGCCAAAATTGCACGAGTTACGAAATGCCCCATCATGTGCTGGAGCAATAACTAAATCAACCTTAAAATTAAATAACACATGGGCACATAACTGACCACTCGATCCTTTTATATTAAGAGGTCAATGAAAAATAAATTCTGCTTCATTCCCTTTACCCTCTGGAAAGTCAAAAATAAAACATTTTACTTTAAAATTCATTAAAAATTACAACAGAAGTAGGTAGTAATATAATCTAATTTAAATCTTGAAGCATTCTTTTTTGCCTATAGCTAGGTGCTATCTTAAAGTACTGACTCTTCTGAATGTCCCTTCCTCTCCCTGAATATCATACAGACCTTCAGTCTGGCATTAGAGTGCTGTGATTGTCAGAATCTGTATAAGTAAGGTTCCCTTTCAAACCTGACAGTCTACAAGGCAAGTGAGTAGAATTCACTTGTTTCTGTGACTTCAGCATATGAAGGGATAGTGTGGTCAGCACTATACCCAGCCGCCTTTACGTACCCTAACAATTAGGTACCCACCTGAATATCACTTAACATTTCTACCTTCCCCTACCTCCAGGTCTAGCACTAGAGTGCTATGTCAGAATCTGTATGCTCCACCTGCATGTTACTTAACACTTCTACCTTCCCCTACCTCCAGGTCTAGCGCTAGAGTGCTATATCAGAATCTGTATGCTCCACCTGAATGTCACTTAACACTTCTACCTTCCCCTACCCCCAGGTCTAGCACTAGAGTGCTATATCAGAATCTGTATACTCCACCTGCATGTTACTTAACACTTCTACCTTCCCCTACCCCCAGGTCTAGCGCTAGAGTGCTATATCAGAATCTGTATACTCCACCTGAATGTCACTTAACACTTCTACCTTCCCCAACCCCCAGGTCTAGCACTAGAGTGCTTTCAGAATCTGTATACTCCACCTGCATGTTACTTAACACTTCTACCTTCCCCTACCCCAGGTCTAGCACTAGAGTGCTATGTAATGAATTGTATATCAGAATCTGTATACTCCACCTGAATGTTACTTAACACTTCTACCTTCCCCTACCCCCAGGTCTAGCACTAGAGTGCTATGTAATGAATTGTATATCAGAATCTGTATACTCCACCTGAATGTTACTTAACACTTCTACCTTCCCCTACCCCCAGGTCTAGCGCTAGAGTGATATCAGAATCTTTATACTCCACCTGCATATCACTTAACACTTCTACCTTCCCCTACCCCCAGGTCTATCACTAGAGTACTATGTATGAATTGTATATCAGAATCTGTATACTTCACCTGAACGTTACTTAACACTTCTACCTTCCCCTACCCCCAGGTCTAGCACTAGAGTGCTATGTATGCCAGAACCAGCCAGATAACAGAGACAAATGTGTCAAGACCACAGTTCAGTGTGAGGAGAGTCAGGACACATGTCTGACACATATAGAGTGGAGAGGTAAGTGCTTGTTTTTTTAAATTACAATTTGTAATTTAAAATCATGTACGTAAATGAAATAAATTAATTTTGTCTTATTTATTAAGTGATAATTGTCGAGTTTTTAGTTAACTTGAATTTTTGAGTCTCATGTTTGGCTTTTTGCCATTTTTGTTTTTGGACATTGAATAACTTTTTCAAATTCATCATTGATTATTGATATAAAAATAATTGTTTGTTAGTATTTTGATTATGTCATTTGTTTTTTCATAAATTAAGATTTAGCTATCATTATAATCATTATTTTATAATGATCACCTTCAACTCTTCAATCAACTCTTCAATCAAGTGTTAACCCAATAATGTATCATTAGTCATTAATGAATAGACAACAGTCTGCAGTTTTCTATATCATTTTTCAAATAAATTTCTTATTTCTGTATTGAAATAATTACAAAATAACTTATCAGCTACTTTACGGCGCATGACAAGTTGACATGTTATACTTAATTGTGTTTTAGAGGGAAACCCCTTCCAGCATTAAAAATTAAGAATAAGCCACTTAACAAGCCACATATATTTGATTTTTATTCCATATATATGCTGTAATATAATGAGTTTTAAAAATTTTAGCCCCTGATTTCTGGACCCCACGTAGTGAGAAGATGCACTACGTACACAAAAGCTGCCACACGTCATCGTACTGCTCACAGATGCAGAGACAGGTTGGGATGCGCTGTATGAGGGACTGGTACAGGGACTGGGAATGTTACGAGTGCTGCGGTGGCGACCGCTGTAACTTTTATGTTACTGTAAGTTTTCATCTCACCTTATCACTTTTGGTATTGGTTGCTCTCCCCTGGTAAACATCAAGAACATTTATCAAAGTTTTTTTTTTTTTTTTTTTGCTTGTCATATTTAATATTTAATTATTGGGGTTCACCTACAGAGGAAATAATTTTAAAATATTATAATCAATTCAAGCATATTATTGCTAATGTTATTGGCATTTTGATTTTTATAATTTAGTTTTAAATAAAAGTAAAGTACCAAAGTACACCATAAATATTAATACAGAGGTATAAAGTTCTAGTACTTAAATTCAAATATACCATCAAATAAGTTAACATTCTGCTACAAACCATAAAATTTACTACATTAGTTACTTCTAAATTAAGTAAACTTAGAGAAAAATGTTTATGCACTAATGTAAAACTGCGGAGAATTTAAATACCAAAACATAAGATCTATTCCATTTAGCATTGTGACGCAGGATTTCTTTTTAATTTTGGTAGTTTTCCTCTTACTACAGTCTGATAGTGGATTCTTCCAAAGATTAAGTTGTTAGGGTTAGGGCTATTATAAGACATGGGTAATTGATATGGTTAGGGTTGAAGTTAGTGGACATCTGTTTATGAACACAAAACATTTAATCTGCATTTTAGATGGGGTCTAAAATTCCAAAAAATTTTTTTATGTTATAAAATAATTACCCTTGATCAAGTACTGGTAGTTTAAAAAGTTTAATTAAAGATCACTACCACTAAACAAACATTATTTCTAAGAAGATTCCATTCTTGGACCTTAGTATAAAAAAAACACCTGATTGTGTCAAGAATTAAGAGTTTCAAAATATATGTGATGTACGTAACCAATTTTTTACTGTACAGTACAAGTACAAGTCTAACTTACTACTTAACAACTGCCCAAAAACAACCAGTTTTCTCTAAGTGTGGTTTACCTACCTACAGACTACTATGTTTATATAAAAAATAAGAGTAGAACTTGGTGGTAAAGTAATAAAAAAAAGTTAGGTAGTTGAGTACCTAAATATATCAATTTGTGTGGTTGTTAGTCGTTCATCTTAAATGTTATTTTATTTGTAGAGTATTCCATCCACATAATACTTTCTTCTAAGTACTAACAGCAGATTTCAGTGTAGCATCATATATTTTACCTTTATATTTTTGGTAAACTGTTTCATGAAGGCCAAGTTACAGATTTATAATTGGAGGGCTCAGTTGTTTTCTGTTACTTTTTATTTTTATGTATGAAAAAAAAAAAAAATATCTACCAACATAAGTTAGTAGGCAGTTACAACTGTGTTGTGTTGTGGTAGTTAGTCCATCAAGTGCTTGATAGAAAACCTGATAGTCTCAAGTTCTGATCTCAGGCTTGAGTCTGTAAGACAACCCTGAGTCACCCAGCTCTAATGGGTACCTGACTCAGGATATCAAAGGTGTTTGGCCATAGTCCTGACCACACTATCCGCTTGTATGCCAAGGTTGTTGAAACAGATGAACCCTACTTCATCTGCACCCAGTGTCTTGGGCACTAACAGGAAAAGATGTTTTTAATAATACTATAATAATATAATAGTATTTTAATACTGCTAAACCTATGTCTGAACTATGTATGGGGTTCAGTGGCGTAGGCAGGGGGGGTAAGGGGGGGTCATAACCCTCCCCCTCCCCCATAGACCCCTCAATATATATATAAAGTATGAGGGGGGGGGGTACAAATCGAAAGTTTGCAGTGGGGGTGCAAATCGTAAGCTTGTTCCCGGCAAAAAATTGGAACCCCTCCCCCTTGAGATGATCCTGGCTACGCCACTGATGGGGTTTGAATGTAAACTAAACTACCTAATTACTAGCAGTGTTTTCTTGTTGAACCTTGTGGTCCATGATGCATTAGGGATAGAGTTCAACTTTGACCTCATCATATGAACAAATACCAGTCCAATTGTGTTCATTATGTAATGCACGTAATGTTGACAATGATCTGTTTATCCAAATGATGATACTGACAATTGTTTATTTGATTACCTCCACAGCTTGGATCTACGGCCATCTACCCCAGTGTTTTGTTGCTCGCAGCTTCTGTTTCGTTGTTTATTTTAGCACAGTTTAGATAAATCATTCCTCTATGTGTGTGTGTCATCAATTTTCTGAGTATGTTGTACAGGGTGAATGTTTGTTACTATTATCATATTTTAGAATCTGTTAAACTTCAAGTCTGCTAAATAAATGGCTACATGTCTTGTTTTAGTAATATTTAACACAGTTTAAGTAAAAAAATCTGGAGTTATCAATGGAGCATCAAACTAACTTTTCAAATACTCACTCAAAACCCCAAAATACAAATCAGATTTGATATGACCTAGGTGATATGTAGTTAATTGCTCCTTCTTTTACATTAAATTTGAAATTTTTAGCTATCTTTTAGTATCTTAGATAATATAGCTTGATCAAAAAAATATACTCAATTATCAGACTATGGCAGATTCTATAATATTGATAATATTTTTGTTCCGCTTGAAATGTCCATTCCAAATTTTTAATCTACAAATTGAATTTCAGTCTTTAAGTGAAGTGACAATGTAAAAAGTAATGTGTTTTCACTGGTCTGTGTTGATATTTGAGATTGTAGTTTCACTAGCAGATATTTGTTTTGATCACTTTGTGCTGGTGGTGTCTTATTTTAAAAAGTTAACATTTTTATTGGCTATAAATAGTAACACAACCTATTTCCTTTTTTTTTTTGAAAATGGTCAAGTAGATTGTCTTTAACCAGGATGTAACCCATCTGCCAACCGTAAGATTGGTTCTATGGGTTTAGAGAATAAAACTCTTAAAAATATTTCATCTAATTCAGACTTCATAACCGACTTTGAAAGTTAATCTTTATCCTCATATTATTGCTAGTGATTTTTTTTTCATGAAAAACATATCAAAATGCTGAATTCTAATAACATATCACACCGATATTTTCTGCTCAGTATATAATAAAAAAAAACATTCCATTATTAGAAGCAGGAAATAAGTAATGAAGAAAAAATGCATTTTTTAATAAGGTGTTTAGATGTGCTTTGATACCAGCTGTTTCTATAGACTCATAAAACCAACAGCTGTCATGTGAGCTGACATGTTGGTGTTCACATTCCATTGTTTTGTTTTTTTTCATCACAATTTCTGCAGCCTGTTGTATATTTATACAGAGATGAACATTCCATTTTTACTTGTATAGACTTTGCTATCTTCAGTCGAAAGTTGTCTCGACAAAGTGGTATAATCAAATCTTTTCTACTCATATTCGTGTTCATGATTTGATAAAAAATATTATTTACAGTATAATTCCGTTAATAGTTTTAGTTTCTGAACTTTAACGTTTCTTGAGGTATTTTTACTCTGTGAAAAGATACACACAGTATTTCTAAAAGGATTGTTTCAATAGTTGGCCTTCTAATTAAATAGAAATAAATGCTGCAGCTTTCTGATAGCCCATTTTTTTTAGCTCTGTAAATATTATTCATACATCGATTTACCTGAATTGGACTTTTCATTTTCTATGCATAACACGTTGTAAATAGTCTATTTTTTTTTTTAAATTTATCTGCTATTTGATAGTAAGTTTAATATTTTGTTGGTTTCTTTTAAACCTTCAATTCTTTTTTTTTTTGAAAACCTGTTTAATTAGACTATTTGGAAGCTAAAGTTTTTGGCGTAGGTTTTAACTCTTGTGTCATGAATTAAAAGGTGTGAGTGGTTTAATGAATGTACATGATAATTGACTAATATTGTGACTAAATCAGTTTCTAGGTTGAATATATTTGAAGTAAATTTTAACAATGTTAAATCTTAGATCTGTTGAAGACATTAATTTCATGTGTAATAATATATTAGTAATATTACATTTTTTTCATTATTATATTTTACAGGATCAAATGAAAAATGTACAACATATTTTTTTTATCTTGAACGTGTGTGTGTGTACAGGAGAATGATACAATAGTTGAGAAAAAACTATTGGAAGTGACTTATGTAAATAGTTATACATTATATTTCATACCTTATTACAAATAAATGCTACAAATTTATCGTATGGATTGGTATTTGTTTTTAAGAGCACACATCTGTACGCAGGCTTGTCATGTACCTTCTACTTATCTCACTGATGTGTATCTGGATTTGACATAATCCTTTGTGGCCCCTGAGGAGCAATGAGCATCAGCCACACTTCTGCATTGGACTCTGTTTTAAGCGGCTCTCTTTATTCGTCCCTTGTAATCCCTGCAGCCCTTGACTTACCTTCTACTGTTCTTATTAGTATCTGGAGCAGGTTCAAAACCTTCCAGCACCAAGAATTTCCTTAAAGTATTTTAAAGTAGAAAAATTTTGTTTTTATTGGTTGTCCAGTGTTGTACTAATCTTGTTGAAAACTTCAATTTCATAAGAAATAACACTTACTTTAGTATCGTCCTTGAACCATATCAGTCAAATAAACCTTAACCCAACTTTTATAATGACATAGTTTGTTCAGCTGGCACTGGATAATAAAAAGCAGGTCTCTTACAAAACAAATTACACAGGAACCCCTGTGATATCAGAAATTGTTATAACTTGCTATTATATGAAATGAAACCCATGGTACCTTGACATATGAGTGCCCCGACTTACTATGTTTTGGAGAAGAGTGAACGAATTTTTGCATTGAGTTACGAGCAAAATTTGAGATACGAGGAACCGGATCTGCAGGTTTCACAGTTCAACTTATACAGTTTATGAAACCAGTTTCACTCTTTACATTCTCCATTTTTTACTTTTTATATTTCTATTAAAATACATTACAAAAACATCCAAGATGGCATTTTAGGGTCATTTTCAAGATACGAAGAATTTGACATACGAGCAATGTAACGGGACGAATCAAATTCGTTTCTCTTGGTACCACATTATTACAGTAATAAATTTGGGCCCTTGACTACAACCATGGTAGCCTCCACCTTAATCCGCCACTGCCGTGAGATCAAGCATGGCTGTAAGCCTATACTGAACGAAGATTTTAATCTCGAAATACCAGAATTTTCAGAAACTGAACTCAAAGACATTTTCCTCATCAATTAGACTTGAAATAAAGATGAGCATAGAATGTGTGGCGTCACGTGGGACATGCATACAATTAACGTCAGGTCTGGCCTTAACTTGATGACATAAAAAACTTGACAAACTCCATGTGAACTGGCTATGCAGACTGGCTTTAAAAAATAGCACAATGTTTAGGGAGGCTGAATAATATCAATACATTTGGTTGTTTGTTTAACTATAGAAGAGTTCACACGTTGTGATTGAGTAGTCATAATCCAACACTGGAAGATCTACATTATTAAATTGGGTTTTATGGATCTTTTAAACATTTATATATATTATGTATATATATATATATATATATATATATATATATATATATATACATATACATATATACATACATACATACATACATACATACATACATACATACATACATACATACATACATACATACATACATACATACATACATACATACACATATAAAGGCATCCTAGGGTTTTATAAATGTATATACTTCATTTATAGTATTTTGCCAGCATCATTTTGTATAGTGGGGGGGGGGTACATTAAGCTACCTCACCTTGACTTAAACTGCCTGTGCCTAAGTTTATGAGGACATAGCTTTCAGTTAAACAGAGCTGCATTTCCTTTTTAGATACCTCAAATGATTTCTGCGACAAAACAGCGGAGGCTATCTGCACGCGAATGCTCAATGCTTTATAATGCTCTTCATTGTATTGAGATGTGCATTGCAGGGCGCCTATCAGCGTCAACATGGGACGCAACCGACTGAGATTTTATCCCTTTTACACTATGCTTTGCCACAAAAGTATGTGCAGCAACCTCTCAGGAAAAAGAAAAAAAAAACATATTGTTTCGATACCATCCACCTCCCCCCCCCCCCACAGACACACACAAGACACAAAACACACCGCTTCATTCACCATAGTATATTGTCATTTCAGTCTTATTTGAAAATAATACAATTTATATGCTGTCAAGATTTCCAATCCTTCCCCTTAGGTATACGACAGTATGTACTAGTGACCCCGAAAGCACACATTCTGGAATCGAACTACGTACTTCAACACACTCACCACTTACTTAACTACACACCTCTCCTTTACACGTCTTGATCTCTGAATATAAATTATTTCAATTCTCTTCAGCTCAATATCTGTTCATTATTTTTACTTCATTTAACTCCTCCTTTCCCCTCCTTATTCTGTCATTGGGTCCCGTTCCCTTATTACCTCCCCTCTTCACCGATTTACTCCCTCTTCAATCCCCATAAACTTTATACCACTTCTGATAACTCACTTTCACCACGTAATTTAAATCTCAACTAAAACGCCACCCCCCCCCCCCTTCCTCTTTTCCCGTAACTCACGTTATTTTTTTTTTCCAGGCGCTTCCTCTGTCATCAATTCTGCGACGGTTGTTTGATATTAGCACTCACTGTTTACTCAGGTCATTGACCCTACAAATCTGGACAGTCTGTTACTAACTTTTTATTTTTTATTTCGTTGTTTTTATTTTTAATGTGCTTAAATGACCAGAGTCATTGTATCATTACAATGAAAAGATGTTTTCTTGACTTATGAATTATAAACTAAAATACATTATAACAATTCAAACACAATCTTTGAACGTTTAGTATGAAGTACAGAATTTAAGATTGAAATTAGTTTAGTTTGTTTAAACTAATTAACCATATTTAACGACTTCACAAATCGGATTTAAGATTAACATGTTTTTAACACTAGGTGCTGGAAAATGTGTTTAATTGTTAGCACCAGAGGTCTTCTTTTTTTTCGTTCCTAAACTTTATTAGTGGACGGGATTTTTCTCCAACACAATTAAGAATTACGTGTCAACATGTTATGTGGCTTACGGCCCATAACTACAATTTCAGCCTGTTTTTTGTTTTTTTTTGAACAACCTACAAGGCAGTAGGTTCTTTCAATTTTAAGAGTTGCTGTTCCCTGCAAACACGCCTCGTCTGCCCGTGATTTCAAACTCAGGACTTTTGGAGAAGAACAAGAGCTCCTCCTCCAGACCACATCAAGATAAAAGATTATTATTACGATTTATTGATAAGTTCCGAGTTCGAACCTCAGGGGCAGATGACTCTTCTGGGGACAGCAACCCATCAAGGAGAGAAAACTCCCAAATTAAACAACTGCAGTTTTGTAGTTTGCTTTGGGATGAACAAAGACTATGGAAGCAAATCCAAAAGGAAAATATCGGAGTCAACGGATTTATGGCGTATAACAAGTTGACACGTAATACTTAATTGTGTTGGAGTAAATCCCATCCACCATTACTATTAATAACACAGAAGAAGCTAGATCACCGCCTCGTTCTTTTTATTCAACAAATCAGCTAAAAACAATTTAACAACAACAAAGCCTGTTTGAAAAATGTCGAACGTATTTTATCTCCCAAAATAACCCCGCCAAACAGCGTGGCGTCAGTACTGGCTGCGCTCAGGTCACATGATGTCAGGAGACACTTCTTTTCTTCCCAGATGTCAGGCCGGAAGTTAAGCCCTCCATGACTTCCGGAATGACTGCCTCACGTCTGTTAGCCATTCGCCATGCAAAACATTTGTCAGGGGGAGAGAACCAGCAAGGTTCTGGTTTATTTCAGAAAATAAAAAAAAAATATATATTCAAGTCTGCTGTTGTGGGATAGTGTGGTTAAAATTTTGATTAATGAACCTGGCGGTACATGCGGCAGATGAAGTAGAGTTAATCCGTTTCTGTGATCTCGGCTAATGAAGGGATAATGTTATCAGCACTATGCCCAACCGCCTTTACTTACCATATCGTGAGCCAGGAACAGTTTCTTCCAGGCATCTCTTCGGGGGGGGGGGGGGGGGGGCGCGAAGAAAGTCTACCGCTCCCCCGAACGAAATGGAATTTATATAGCAAAAATATACTTTTAACAGTGTCCTCTCCGCCCGGATATTTAGTCCGCCCCGCCCACCCCCCAAAATTTTAAGTGCCCCCCCCCCCCTCTCCCAGGAGAAAAAAGTCTGGAAGAAGCACTGGCCAGAAATCCATCAGCGCTAGTTTGACAGGCACCCGGGATCCAAATAAAATAAAAATAAAAACGATTCAATGATTTTTGAAACTCTTGATTCAGTGAAAATGTTTCATTAGTCTTTTTAAACGCATATCCAAAGTTCTACAAGTTTGTCAAAGCAAATTTTTTAATATCCGCATCTAAATGATGCGTCGATTATACTTGGGAGAAAGGGGGCGGATAATGGTAATCATAAAATATTCCATATACAAATATAATATTTTGATTATTTCATCTTGGGGGGGGGGGGGGGGGGGGGGGTACACCTTGACAGGTGCTAGAAAGACACTCTGAATAAATAAATTCGTGCGTATATGTTGACACCAGGAGCTTAGTTTTCGCTTTCTAATTTTAGCTCCGAAAAGCTTCTGCAGTTTTTTTCCCAGCGCCGTTCATTCCGTGTTTGAGAATCGCTG